CTTTGAATTAAAATTGTGAGTAAAAAGTTAACAGTCTGAAGTAATATGGTGGCTTTGGCTCCAGGTTACACGAGGCTTGTTATTCTCATAGTTTGCTAGCATTGAACAAAGCATCAGGCTCAAAGTCAGCCTCTTTAAAGTCTTAGACTAATGTTTTGTATCTTATCTTTATTCATAAATAATAAATAGGTAGGTGAATTATTCTAAATGCTTCTTTACATATGAATGGCACTGGGGGCGAGGCTATAAACAGCTAGCTAAATTAGCCACTAGAGATTTAAAACATTAAATCAATACAGCAGAACTACATCATCTTATTGTACTGTAACGTCAATATTGGGCAATAGCATGTAACGTTACATGACCAGAACATATACAACGATTTATAAAAATTATATATACACAGTTGCAAATATGTGCATGTGTAAGGGTACGTGTATATATATATATGGATGTATGTGTGTATGTATACATATATGAGAGAGAGATATTATGTATATAGATATACAGAGATAGATATATAGATGGTTGGTCTTCCAACTCTTGCACGTATAGTTAAATGTTTTACTTTACTTATTTGTTTAGCAGTGTTTCTGTATTTCGAAGCACCTTACATTTGTTTTGGCCACTGTGTTTAAGTACTGTATATTGAAAGTTACTACAATTTTCAAGCTTTTATGAAGTACTCTCAATAAACCATGGTTGATCTTTTTCTTGCAGAATTGCGATGTCTTCATCCTTCACACAGCTGTGTCTACAATACAGAAGTCTTCTCTTCTCCAAGACAGTGTCTAGTACTTGGCGGTATTCCACTCAGTTTCGCCATTGCGCTACACTTACAAGGTTACCCACGAAAATCCTAAATGGATCCTCGGTTATCAGGGGGAATCGCACCACAACGCAGGCAAGACAGCGGTGGAAACAACCGATGTTCTGTTACAGAGACTTAACTGCCAGACATTTGGCAACTGAGGCTAAGGAACACAAAGATACTGAAGAATTGTCAAAATCTGATGTTGTAGTGTACAAGACCCCCGTGTTGCCAATCAGAGATGCTGAGATGCCAGTAACCGAAAGCCAGATGTCATTAGGTACTATTGTTTTGGTGTTATTGACCATAAAACCCTTTTATATAACATAAGAATTTGATTTAATTGTTATTTTTATTTCATGAAGGAGTTGAATAAATTGTTTTGTCTTTTTTTTCTTAATTTACTAGATCTGGATGCTGCTGCTGAACGTTCACCATTAGAGTTGATCAGTGATGAAGAGGCTCTCAGTATATCTATTCCTTCTACCATACCTCCAGCCTCCTCCTCTCTTAGAGACTATGTTGACCAGTCTGAGACTCTCAGCAAACTGGTACAGCTAGGTAATTAAACTTCAGACTTGTAGTTTGGAAGCATCTTTATATTTATTATGATATAAGCAATGATCTTAAAAGTCTGACAACCCAAATCTCTTCTTTCTTTTTTTTTGGTTGCTACACATTTGTAATCCTTCATCCTCTCATTGCAGGTGTAAAGCTGTGGAGACTTGAACAAAGGCCCAACGTGGGCTCCATGCTGCTGAGGCTCAACTTCAACACAGATGTAGCCCCAAAGCTGCTGTTTCTCAAAGAGATTGGGGTGGAAGACTCTAGCTTCGGCCATATCATCACACGAAACCCCTTCATTCTCACACAGAATTTAGAAAACCTACAGTCCAGGTGACATGAAGGGATCTCAGAAACGGGAACATGAGATGCCTTTATATATACCAAATGTATTTATTCTAAATTAAATTTGTCTGATGCACCTGTTAAGAGACTGTCTTACTAATGTTCTCTTTTTGTTGTTTTCAAAGGGTGAACTATCTCAAGTCAAAGAAGTTCAGTTCTGGGGATGTTGCATCGATGGTATCCAGAGCTCCGTATCTGCTCAACTTCAGTGTGAAGAGGCTGGACAACAGACTGGGGTTCTACCAGCAGCAACTCAAACTCAGTGCTTCCAATGTAAGCATCTTTAACTGATGTAGGAGAAACCGAGCCATGTTTGTCTTAGATTCTCTTTGTACAGTATATTATGCCAGTGTGTTTTGATTTTGTTATCAGAAAAAGAAATAATAGTGTTTTTCTTTTCAGACACAGAACATTGTAGCTCGTCTACCCAGATTACTGTGTGGAAGTTTGGAGCCTGTTAAAGAAAATTTGAAGGTACTGAATGGCAAAAGACATTATTAGAAAACACTGTTTGAGTAACCTTGAGGTGCAGTGTTGAAATACTGTTTGTAAATGTGCTCCACAGGTGTTTGAAATAGAGCTTGGCTTCAAGGAAAATGAGATCCAACACATAGTTGTTGCCGTCCCAAAAGTGTTGACTGCCAATAAAAGGAAGCTAACCCAAATGTTTGACTTCCTCCACAACACCATGAAGGTGCCCCACCACCTGATCACCAAGTTCCCACAGGTACATTGACTGCTGTTAGTTGTTTTTAGTCAATGTGGACTTATTTCCTTGTGTATTTTGTCCATATTCAGAATTGTAACAAGAGCATCTTATATCCCATAGGTCCTCAATAGCAAGTGCCTGCGTGTCAGAGAGCGCCACCTGTTCCTCGACTACCTTGGAAAGGCTCAGTATGACCCAGCCTTGCCCAACTACATCTCCCTGGACCGCTTTGTGTCTTTGCCCGATGAGACTTTTTGCACTGAGTTGGCTTTGGCCACATTGGAAGATTTTTATTTGTTCCAAAAGACCCTTTGAGTGGTCAAACACAGAATAAATACCATAATGTCAGATATATGCAGACATGGAAGTCTTGAAACAAACATCAGTTATTATGGTATGAAGTTTGCTTTGTAAATGTGATGTTTAATAAATGTTCACAATGTATATCACCTCCTCTGTCTGATATAATACTTATTACGACTATCTAAATGTGATAAAAGTTATGTTAAATCCAGTCCCTGTTAAATATTTGCCTCAGTTGAGGGGCTGTGAATAAAATGTATTGAAAAATGTGAGTGGACTGTAATTTTCAATTTGAAAAGAATCAGATCTAAGAACGTTTACTCAAGCACTTAGTTACAAATTCAAAGAACTTGTAATTTGGTATGAATGCAGGAAGCATCATTATAAATATAGTTGCATAATATAATAATAATATGCTGCTTAACATGTGAATGCCTCAGGAAATGAATCAATTGATAAAATACATACCCTGAACGGGGCCAGTCGACTGCATTATGAGGACTTTTACATTTGATACTTAAGACTCATTTTGCTGCAATTATTTTTTCTTAAGCTAAATTTTGAATGCAGAAATGTTACATTCAGTTTTCTTAGTTTTTACTCTAAATGATCTGTAGTCCAGCACTTTCTGACGGACTTCCACTGTGTTTGGTTTATATAATGTGAAATCAGTCTTAATCAAATCAACAAGTTCTTTTAAATCAAATAAATGATGTAAGTTCATTTGGTTTTACGGTCGGACTCGCAGCTTTTAAAGACGTCTCCTTGTTTTAGAGATTATAATTATTAACGAAACTTCCAGATAGGCTGCGGACATGCGCAGAGAAGTTGCGCAATCGCCCATTGACCTGAATCGTTTACCCAGAACGCACCGCGGTCGTTCCTCAGTGGTAAAGATGGCGTCGAGGGCACCAGGTAAATCAATGTTGTTTCTCTCTTAACATTTACACTAAATCCGCTAAATATCGTTTATATACCGTCATAATGTGAAGCGTGTTGTCATATTAACACGTTATATTGTGTTGCGGTCACGTAATGCGGCTCAAAAGTCAGTGTTTTGTCGCATTTGAGTGTGTGTGTCCTCTAGTGTCCTCTTGATGCTAACTGATGCTAACTGATGCTAAGGGTACGGGTTAGCTGACGTTAGCTTAGCATCACCCGGTAATCACAGTATATGAGTGTAATAGAGTATATATAACTGTACACTGGCTCTGCTGTCCCGTCAGTGAGTAAACGCTTCGTCCAGCTGTCGTTTGGTGTTAATCTGTAACATTTATACTCGATGTTATTTAATATTAGCGCCTCAGCAGCTACTGTTGTTGTGTTGTTTCATCTTTTTAATGCTCTTAAAGATGTTAAATGATCAGAAGGGCAAGTTTTCCACTGTTTGTCATATTTTTCTTAACCAGATAAAATGGTTTGTACATATTTACTAACTTAAAAGTCAAGTTGGCGAGTTTCATGTTGCTTTATATGAAGAACTGAGTCGCCTGAAATTCTGTCATGTCTGACAGGTTTGTGTTTGTCAGATAGTAACGTTAGATAGATTTACTATAGTGTATACTACCTGAAAACGTGGCTGATCTGAAAGGTTAATGGGGAAAGAAAAAAATAAATTTGTACTGAAGTAGTAATGCTGTATCACTCACTCCTTCCTCCCCACATCTGATGGTAATTATTATTATAAAAGTTGCTCTTCCTGTCTGATCCTGAATGTGTCTTTTCTTGTTATATTCACAGCAGCGTCAGGCCGGCTCCTGGTTGGATTCCGCAAATGGTATTACAACATGTGTGGCTTCAATAAGCTCGGTAAGCCTGCAGATTTGAAGCTTGAGTTC